AACTGTTGATGTGGACTAAGACTTAAACTAGATTTAAGTTAGCCATGCATTTATTCCTTTAAACATATGAAACAACTGCAATGAAATATTCTGCAGGAAAGGTGACATTAAGGTATTTAAAGCCATACGAAGACTAATTCTTAGTGACAAAGTCTCTATGCCTGCTTTAACTATTTTTAGACAATTAACCACATATATATTTTATAATTAAATAAACACAAATTATGTCTTTCTTGATTGTAATCAGTGAGTACATAGTTTTGAACAGATGCATTGATTAGGGGGTAGCTATAAAGGAGAGGGGTGGAGAGTTTGGGGTGAGGTTGTGTTCATGAATAGGCTGCAACAAATGAGCTATTCAAGCTTCTAGTGGGTGTTGTTGCCTACCCAGCACTCATTTAAACCTCCCAACTTGACCCCAGTTTTTGTTCTTGTATCTTCCCTTCTCAGCCAATGTACTTAAAGGAGAAGCTGATCCTACTCTGAATTCCAGGGGTAGGACTTACTGGAATAAATGCAAACTCTTCCCTGTAAATGGCTCTGGAGCAGAGGCTGAAGTATTGGTTCAGGAACAGGCCAGTGAGATATTGAGAGGAAATTTACTTGAGAGCTTTTGGGAAAGAACCTGTAGGCTCATAATAGAGAGCTACCGGAAGTCATGGGCCCTCTTCCCCTTGACATGTTGTCTATGTATCTGAGGCCCTGGGCTGGGATCCGGAGGGTAATCCCTGCCAAAGAGGCATCAGGACAAAGAAGCTGGCAGACAACTTCCTGACTGAACTTCCCCTCCCCTTTGTCCTTCCTAGACCTTATTAATGAGCCAATGAATAGCTTTGATTCAAAGCCATTTTTACTTGAGATTTCTGCTTTCTGGAAGCCAAAACAAACATTTTAACATATAGAATTCCAATTTATACTTCCTTAATGTTGGTTGTGTTTATTTTTTAAAGTATAAGGTATGGAATCATTTTCTGATTATAAAACTAATAATGCTCATTGTAGAGAACATAGAAAATCTTGAAAATTACCAAGAACCATTAAATCCTCCTAAAATCCTATTACCCCTTAGAAACATGCTATTGATGTTTTGAATTAGTCTTCTCTTTACATATACAAACTTACATATATATTATACATATATTTATCCTGCTTTAGAGAAACTTACAGCCTAGTGGGAAACAGGGAACAAACCAGAAAGCCAAACAGATTCATATCAATGAGTAGGGACAGTTGGAGTAATTATTAACCTGAGTTATAACTGTCCAGTGTTGCTGAGGCAATGATTAATGGTGATGTTATTCCCCATCTCCACATACCAGAACAAATCATCAAAGATTTTAAATAGTAACTATTAAAATATAGTATGCTTTTATGTGTAATATCACAAAGTCTCACAATGTCGGTAAAATCAACCAGTTATCAATGTGTCCATTTGGTGTCCATTTGGTTTCCCTTCGGTAGGTGGTGTTTTTTCATATTTATGGCAAGTATGCCCTGCTAGTGATGGCTTTCACCCAATCATGATTTTTCCTTTGTGGGGGAGGAAGAAACTTTCCTCTGTCATTCAATGTTCTTTTGGCAGGTCTAATAATGAAGTATACATAAGACAGATTAAGAAAAGAAAATAACCAAATTTAATTGCACATGTATGCATAAGAGAGTCAGACACCACACACACACACGAGAGGTTCAGGGAGCACGGGGCATTCTGAGCTAAGGATGAAGTAAGATGTCTTGTGGCTATAGAGGGGAGGAAGGTCATATGCAGAATGATAACAGCAGATATTTGGTTATTTCTGATTAATAACTCTTATTATGGGCAAGAATTTATAAATTCTTCTAGGTGTTTAAGGTGGGGACAGAAGCTTCTCTTGAGTCTCCTGTATCTCAGTTGATTTAGCTCAAAACAATCTGCATACACCAAAGGCAGATTTTAGGGTGACTCATTCTGAACCCTAACACTGTAAGGTGTATTTAACCAATTAGACAAAAATGAATCTCTAATGTTGATCATTTTAGCTGTACACATGTGAAAGGTTCAGCATTCACCAGTATGCTGGGCAAAATTCCCTGTCTGTGATAGTACCAATTTCTTCAGTTTTAAATGTTTTCTAATTTCCGTTATGATTTTCTGACCCATGTGTTGATTGGAAGAGTAGAAATTTGGGAGTGTCCTGGCTGACTTTTGGTTGTTGACATCTAACTTAACTACACAGTGGTCAGCAAATGTGCTTGCTATGATACCAATTCTTAGACAAATAGAGACTTGCTTTATAACCCAGTATGTTCAATTTTTATAAACATTTCACATATTATTCTTGAAAGGACTATATATATACTGAAATTATTGAGTGTAATGTTCTACATGTATTAGTCAAATCAAGCTTGGTAATTGTGTTGTTATTCAAATCTTCTCAGTCCCTTAAAGACTTTTTGGTCACCTTGATGTATGTATTCGTTTTCTGTGGCTGCTGTAACACATTACCACAAAAGGGTATCTTTGTGAGACTGGAGATAGTTAGGAGGGAGAAAACTCTGGGGGTGCCCCAGGGCTAAGACAAAGGACATCAATTCAGGACAGAGACCTTGTTCTAAGACTCGTTGTTCCTGCTTTTTGGAAAAGTGCTGAATCATGAATGCACCTGTGCAGAAGATGCTACATGACCCCTGCTTCATTATAATAGCATTATAATGAATTAACATTGTGGGACCCCTTCCCCAGTGGCCAATCAAGAAAAATCATGGGAGACCACGTGCACAGTAGCTCTAAAGCGTTGTCACTACTTGCAGGTGCACAATTAAAGCCTGCCAAAACTAGCCAGAAAATAGCTGCCTTGTAAGAATAGAATCCCATAGCCCCCGACGTCAATCTCTACTTGTAGTTGACCCACTCCCATGTTCTGTGGAATGTACTACTGCTTAATAAATCTGCTCTCTTTCTTTCTCCTATAAACTCTCTGTGTGTTTGGTTCAATTCTTTGTTTGCAATCACCAAGAACCTGGTTACCTGTGCCCACCTGTGACATTTGAACAACAGAATGTATTCTGTCACAATTCTGGAAGGTACAAGTCTGAAATCAAGGTATTAGGAGACTTGTATTCTTTCTGGAGTTTCTAGGGAAGAATCCATTCTTTGTTTCTCCCAGCTTTTAGTGGCTGTCAGCATTTGTTTGGGTATGTGCCTACACCACTCCAGTCTCTGCCTTTGTGGTCACATTGTCACCACCTCTTCTTATCTCTTCTTCTACCTCAAATCTCCCTCTACTTTTCTTTTATGAGGACACTTGTCATTGGATTTATGACCCACCTGAATAATCCAGAATGATTGTCTCAAGATCTTTAATTAAATCTGCAAAGACCCTGTTTTAGAGTAACATTCACAGGATCCAGGGATTAGGACATGAACACATCTCCACGGGGGGGGGGGCAGGGGCGGGGGGAAGGTTACTAATAACCCACTGCAGTCTGTTAAAGAGATGTGTGAAAATCATCTGCAGACTCTGGTGGTAGATTTCTTTCTTCTTGTACTTGCCAACTCTTTGTGTTTTGTATTTCTAACAATGTTATTAGAGACACATTTACGACTTTTATTTTCTTTTAAACCTCTCTCTACCTCCAGTCACACACACCCATCCACCTACCTAGAAAGTCTATCAATAACAAACTCAGCTGTTAGTCTGAAAAGACTTATTCTTCCTTCTTCCATCCTTTTCCGTTGTTGTCATTGGGCAGAGAATTGTGAATTCCCCCCCCTTACCATTTCATGCAATTGTCTCCCCCCCCAATTTTGTATTCCCAAAACAAAACACTCCCAGAGAATTAAAAAACATGGGCTGATTTAAAAAATGTCTTTAATTAATATAAGGGAGCCGTGTCTGAAATTAAATCATTCTAAGTTATTGGCAAAATCGTTCCATTAGGCATAGTGCGGAATATATTGGGAAAAAATATGTAAAGAAGCTGAAACAAATGTGGACGTCGAAGTACATCTATTTCCTAGTGGCTGAAGTGATTCTTCATTTCATACTAATTACATATTTTTTGAAGTAAAGATTCATTATCTGCTAAATGTAATAAAGGTTTCTCTAGACACTCCTTAGCACCAGTAGCTAGAGCAAGCTCTACAATAATTATAGCCTAGATTCTGCTATTACTTATATTGCTATTATTTGAGAATGCTGAGGAATGAAACTGGTAAATTACATAATCTTTCTTCTTTGCCCCTTAAGATTTACACAATCTTAAACTTGTAGTCAGATTAGTGAAATGGTGCACGAAGATCACGAAGATTGGTATTTTACGTTTAAAATTTCTGGCCTAAGTTGTATGGAGTTAGGGACTTAAAAAAACCCATGAATATTTCAAACACATTATTATTGTTGTTGTGGTTATTATTATTACTAGCCACCCTACTAAGTTTCACTTTTTCCTCGTGGTTTTCAGGGCCTGGGCGGTGTGAGATAAAGCCCTAGAGCAGTCCCATAAAGGGCTGTCCAGGCTGGTCCACACGTTTTCAAGTTTCAAGGCACTACGGGGGAAGGAGGGGGGTAGGGATGCTGATGTAGCTCCCTAGATCCGCCCTCAAGCCAAGCCAAGGCCGGGCTGCTAGGCCTCTTTGGTGCGAATGCCCGGTAAACTGGCTGAGCACAAGAAGAATACCCTTGATTCGGTGGAAGACCATTGGCCAAGGATTGTACCCCGCTTTTGGAGCCTTCCAGATTCCTGGTTGTCCGGGTAACCAGACTGCAAACGCGCATGCGCAGCCCAGGGCCCTTATTACGTGAGGCCAGGGCGCAGGTTGGGGCTTGGAAAGCTCGCCCAGGCCCCTGGCCCCTGGGATCTCCAAGGCTAGTGGAGGTGGGGCGAACCGCGGACCTATTGCGTTACCGTGACTCACAGCTCCCGCCCCTTTTTGCTTTGCTCTCTTGCAGCGGGTTCCTCGTACCACGTGCTTTCCTGGCCGCTCCCCCAGCTGCCTGTTGGAAGCCGCTGTGAAATGTCGTGAGGGGCGTTGCCGCTTTACGGTTGCCTCTCCCAGACCAGAGCCCGGGAGCGCTCACCGCCGTAAGCCGCCGTAAGCCGCGACTCCTGGAGTCAGTCCGGCACAGAGTGCGAGGCCCGGCGTACCAGTGTCTTCCCTGTCGCTCCCTTCTGGACACCGGCGATGTGACCTCGAGGAGGCTGTCGTGCCCCCTGGCCCGGGGTTGACAGGGGCGGCAGGTGCCTGCAAGGCGGGCGGGTGCTGGGGGCCAGCAGGATGGAGGAAAGCATGGAAGAGGAGGAGGGGGGCAGCTACGAGGCGATGATGGATGACCAGAACCACAACAACTGGGACACCGCCGTGGATGGCTTCCGGCAGCCCCCACCACCCCCTTCGTCGATCCCAGCCCCTGTCCGAGAGCCTCCGCGGGGGCAGCTCCTGACGGCGCCAGCGGTCTCAGTGGACAGGAAAGGCCCCAAGGAGGGGCTCCCGTTGGGGCCGCCACCGCCAGAGCCCAACGGGGTGATCATGATGTTGAAGAGCTGCGACTCGGCGGCCACGGTGGCCAAGGCGGTCCCCGCCCCCACCCCCAGCTCCACCATCAACATCAACACCTCCACCTCCAAGTTTTGTGAGTCCAGCCTTTCTCCTGCAGCCTTGGCTTTCCTCCTCCCCCACCCAGACGCCGCATCTACCCCTTTCGGAGCAGCCCCGCTTCCTTTGTTTCAGGCCCTGGTCTCCTTCCCTCCTCTTCCCTCCCCGCCTCCTCCCCCCGTTTGTTGCCTTCGGCCAGCGCCAGAGCGGCCCTGTCTTCTTGTGTTACCTGGCCTAGAGAAGCACCTGGTGCGCGCCTAGCCCCAAGTTCTGCAGACGCGATCCTTATCGCAGCCAGCTGTCACTCAACATTAGGACGCTCTTCTCCCTACCTCCTTCTTAAAGTTTCACCCTCAAATGTAAGAGGAAAAGAAGGCGGGTTGAGTTTCCATAGGGAGGGCCCTTCAGCCTTTTTTTGCAGCGAGAGAGAGAAAAATCTGGGACCTTCCATTCTTGTGCTTGTAGCTAGTCTACATTAAACACGTTAGGAATTACAAAGTTGACCTATATCTACATTGGTTCTTTCTCTTCTCCAGTGTCGTCCTCCAGCGTCCCAACAGGAAAATATCTGAGTTGCTTGTTGGGTAAACCAATGCAGTGGGAGCTGCGATATCTGTTTGGAAGATAGTAACCCATAAAATTATTTTCAAAGCAGCCTACACTGATATAAATAAGCCACCCAGCATGTGTCCAAATCCAAAATTCTGTTGGCCTGTTGGACTTTATTTTAGTGATTTGCCTTAACGCTCAGTTGCAGGCAGAAAAGTTGAAGACCAAAGTCTGTTTTGTAATCCGAAACTGCCCCCAACCAGGATGTATGCTTCCATAGCTAGGGGGGGAAAATCTGCTTTTGCTTTCAGTGGATTTTCTTGGGTTGTGGAGGAGGGAAATTGACCGTCGCAGGAAAGTTTTTCTCTCTTAATAATTTCTCTCCTGCAAGTTTTGAATGGCGTCTGGTAAAGCAACTGGAGATTTCATTTCTAGTTACTAATTCTACCAGACTGCACCAGTAATTGTCCAATTAGCATTCCAGAAAAATGTTTCCCATAATTCAGATATATAATCACAGACTTATACTTTTTTTTGTGAGAACAGCACATAATCTTACTTATTTGCCTTCAAGATACTGCTTTAATCAGGCATTCATATGTAGGTATGGTTGGTAAAATTTGTATTTTATTTTTCCTATGTTATGCATACATGGGAATAATATTTATATTGTATACTTTGTGTGTTGAAGTCTCTGTGGGGAAACCAGACCTGGGACACAGTAACAGGGTGATTTATCTGAATGCTGAAGGAACCTTGATGTAGAGCTTAAACAGAATTTGTTTGAGGAGTTAAAAAAAAAAAAACCTAAAAAAGCAGAAATCAGTGAAATTAAGGAACAAAAGATTTGCCAAACAAAAAGATTGTTCTTTGGAGGTAAATAAGCTAGACAGACCTATGCTTAAGAAGACAGAAAAGAAGATGAAAATAAAATATATGAAAAATTGTAAATAACTACAAGCATGAGATTTAAAAAGTAATTTTATGAATTTATGAATAGGTCAATAAATTTAATAGCACAGATGAAATGTATAGATTTTTAGAAAATTGTAAACTAAAAGTTGGTGGTTGGTATCAGAAGAAACAGCTTGAATTACCTAATAAATCTTTAACAAATTGAAAGGGTAGTTAAAGGCCTTCCCTTTAAAAAACTCTAGATCCAGGTAGTCTTTAAGCAAATTACATTTACTTGTATTTAGTTTGTATTTTTTAAGATTTTATTATTTTTAGAGCAGGGAAGGAAGGAAGAAAGAGAGGAAGAGAAACATTCATGCGTGAGAGAAACATTGATTGGTTGCCTCAACGCCCTCTCCCCAGCTGGGAACCGGCCTGCAACCCAAGCCTGTGCTGGAGCAGGAATTGAACCCAGTGGCCCTTCACTTTGCCAGATGATGCACAACCAACAGCCACACCAGTAGTTGCACTGAACTTTTAGATAACACTTAATTCTTTTTATATATTGTCTTGGCAAACAGGAAAAAAAGAGAGATACCGCAGTCATTTCATGAGGTTAGTGAAATTACAGATGTTTTTCTTATTAGCAAAGATATGAAAATCTTGTACAGTATGCTAGCTCATCAGATCCAATGATATAGTAAAAGAATTATGATCCACACTGTTTGTTTTCGGAATGAAAGGATGGTTTAACATTTAGTTATCTATTAATGTAATTTATCTCGTTCATGGGGTAAGGAGAAAAATGATGATTATCTTGATACCATAAAATTACTTAAAATCCAGCTCAAAATACAAGATAACTATATAAAGGTTATTACTAAAAACCTACATCAAATAATACTAAGGGAGAAATTTTAGACACATTCACTTTAAGATGGGCAATAAGATAAGGATGCCCCCATTACTATTGCTGTTTAACATGATAAGAAAGGTCTCAGTTAACAGTATAAAAGGAAAAAAAATAAGTGTAAGGATAGGGAAACAAACTCATTATTTGCAGATAATATCACTTACTTTAGAAGAACCATTAGAATCAAAAGAGAAACTTAGGACTAGTGAGAGTTTAGCAGGGTTGCTGGATTAAAGATCAACATACAAAAGTTAATAGCACTTACTATGCTAGCAATAATCAACTAATAAAGGTAATCAAAGGTAGATTTGTATAAAATAATAGCAACAAAACTGAAGTCTGTAGGAAGTAACTCGAGAATACATAAAACTTGAAAACTTTAATGAAGAAGAGGACCTAAGTAAATGGAAGGAAAAACTTTTCATGTTCTTGGGATAAAATTACTTATAAGAATGTCAGTTTTCTCTTATTTTAATCTATAAATTAAAATGCTGTCAAAATTCCAGTTGGTTTGTCAACAAACTCGATCACCTAATCTAAAATTTATATGGCAAGCAGGATAAAGCTTGTAAATTGCTGGATCAATCTTAAAGATTTGCTTTGACTGGGCTTGCCTTATCAGAACTTAAAATGTTTCAAGGCTGTAGCAGTAACAATTAATGTAAGTGCAAGAACCAAAAATATAGACTGGGGGACAAATTAGAGAGCACAGACTTAGCGGTACACATTCAGAACTTCGAGGTGGCACCATAAATCATGGTGGGAAGGAGTCAGGTTTTAACGGGAGAGTGGCTCACTACATGGAGAGCAAACCAATCTGATGCCCCAAACAGGATGGACTCTGAATAAATGAAAGATCCAAATGGGAAAGGAAAAACTGTAAAATGAATGGAAGATGGTGTTGCAGGAGGTCTTTACTAAGGACAGGACTTCTTGGGCTGTCACAAACTTACGAAAGAGACAAGGGCCAGGTCCCCAGTTGGGGCTTGCCTGTATTGTTGTATCTCTTCTCTTTCCCCCTCCCTTGCCCTCTCTCTAAAAAGAAATAAAGACTTAAATTTTTTTTAATTAAGGATTTTTTTATTCTGCAAAAGACATGTGGAAGAAGGAAAGAACATATCAGCAGTGCCTAAAATTTAACAAGGGAGTTGATAAAAAGAGGGGCTTGCCCCCTGTGGAAAAATAGTCAAAGGATATTAATAAGTAGATTACAGAATAGGACATCCTAATAACCATAGAGATATGTGAAATTATTAAATAACTAGGTATTACAAATTACATTCATGCACATCTTTTTTCACCTGTTAGGTTTGGCAAACATGAGAATGCAGCATAATAAGTACCAAGTGTGGGTAGGGATGTGGGGACAGAGGAATTGGCGGCAGGACTGCCAGGGCAGTGGCCTGGAGGTGTTGAGATGGCCACAGTCACAGCGGACTAGCTAATGAAGGAGCTGGCGTGCGTGCTGCTGCAGCCGGGAGCTGTGACGTTGAGAGGGTATTTCGGGACTCTGAGATGAAAACAGCTTCTGCTGGTCTGTTTTGGAATAGATTGGGGGGAAAAGACTTTTTTTTTTTTTTAACTTGATGGATGCATTTTAGGTGCTAGATACTGTGTTGGTTTGTCCCTGCAAAGAGACCATATCTGGAACAGCAACTACAGGTGTAGTCGCCGCTTGATTTGATTTACTATAAGCTACGTTCTTCAAGACCTGTCTTCTCTGTACTGGCCAGATAGGCTAGTGGAATCAAAGCATCGTAGCAGTCACCTTCCCTGAATCCACAAGCCTTTGAAAGATGCTTCCTTTGCAGAGTCCACAGGCATGTGCTTTGGGTTTATTAATTTGGCAGGAAGGGGCACAGCTAGGGGATTTACTTGGCCCTTCCTACCCCGCACTGTGCATTCAGGAACTCAGGAATTACAGGGCAGGTCCGTGCATCCACTGGGCCCACAGTGAGATGGATGGGGGCCAAAGCACCGTTCATCAGTGTGACGGCCCCCGCTGATCTGACTGCTTTTCCACAATGACATTCTGGTCCCTGAGGGTTCCTGCTGTTAGAGCCAGTGTTGAGTAACCCCTGGAGAGACCAAGTGAGTCTGTTCCCTGAATGTGCTGTCTCCTTGATACATGGCTGCGTGTTCTGTTGGAGGAGGCTCGGAGGAAGACTTTAAATCACATGCTCTTGATGTGATTTGTTAGGGTCTTTGCTCCTGGAGCTCACCCACCCTCTCCTGTACTCCGGGGACTCTGCCTGTAAACAGGCACAGTCTGGGTATTAAGCGAGGTGCCATAATTCTCCATTGTGGTCACTTAAGTTAGGCCTCTGTTAGATATACCTAGAGTTTTTTTTCTTTTTTCCTACCTATTGCACACATCAAATAGTTCCTTAGTGTGTAGTGTCCATCTCTTTCCTAAGGACACCATGGCTTGCCGTCACCAGACATCTAAGCCATTCTGATTACCAGTCTGGTCCTGCCGCCTATTACCACAATTACAACCCCTTTTATATCTGAGGAGTAAGTATTTCTACTTACCCTTTATCACTCTGGGAGTCTCATTATCCCATTGAAATCAGGGAGCCCCTTTACTGGCAGCAGTGCCCACCTTTGACCCAGAACTACAAAGGACAGCTGCACATTTTTTCCCAAGGATGTTAGTGTACCTTCACCGCTGTGGTTTT